CAGTTTAACGTTGAATATTATTTATGATTTTATGCGATTACATAATTTCTGACTATATAACTTAGAAGAAAAAATAAAATTTAATGTAAAAATAGGCATGAGTGATTTTGGTTTGCAACTGAATGATTGACTGCAATGCTCAAGGTAGAAATTGGAATATTAGGCCAAAAAAAGTTCTATTTTGCCATGCCTATAAATGTTGTTTGTTTTACACTTTACAGATAGGATTTCAGAATTTTTCTTTTCTTATAGATCAGTGAAATTTTATTTTTCTGTAAACTGACATCAGATTATTTTTAGGTACTTAAAATCAACCATCAAATGTTCGCAAAAGTTTCAAGAAATGAATTGTTTGAGAGAATCGGAACGAAGCAATCTACGAGAATACACCAACATTATGACCACTGGCTTGGATTATTTATGTAACAACAAAGAAAAGAACTTAAGAAGTATGTTGAACTTCATTAGAGGAATGAAAACAGAATCTAAGTTTTATATTAAATTATACACCTGTCTGTGCCTTAACTAAACAATAAGACTAAAACAGATAAATTCAACCTGCTACTTTTCTATTCAACATATGAACAAAGGTTAAGCTTGATAGATGCTGTTTCCTCCAAGTTGTGGGTTATGATAGAATGCATGTTATTTAACCCACTTTGTAGCTTGTGCCCTGCTTTGTGTGTGTGTGTTATGTGACACTTTCTGTTTTTGACTAGTTTGTTTAATTTTTATTTTAAAAACTCACAATTACAATGGAAACGTTGTAACATGTCCTGACAGTAAGTTATTTGTTATACCTTCTAACCCATGATGTAGGTCCATCTAATCTGTGATGAAAGACCGTCTATCCCCTGATGTACGTCCTTCTAATCCCTGGTGAAGGGCCTTCTAACCCCCATGAAGGATTATCCTTCAGTCCGAAAGCGGGGGATTATTAAATAAAGCATTTCGTTTCTTATTTAAAACATTCTGTTTTTCTTGAAATCAGTGACACGATATTCAAGTAGAAACCCAATACAATTATCATCTCTTCATAATTATAGGGACAAATCTAACCCAATTTTTCATTAACGGGGATTGTGCCCCTTAATATTCAATATAAAAAAAATAAACCACTTTTGAAAACCAGGTTTCCTCGACAATCGTGTAAGAACAGCGCTTAATATCTGCCGTATCTTGTTTCTGAAGTTATTTATTTAAATGTAAAGCCAGTAACATAATATATTTTAAAACTGCCTTCGTCGCATTGACATCTGAGTGTCGAAGTCAGCTATTTTACTCAAACCCACATACTATCCTCAATAACGTTGATATTATCTTTGAAAGCTCCAAATTCACTCCCTCACGAACCCATCTACACTAATACAGATACCTCTTTTTTGCTCTAGTGGTTTAGTGATAATTAGTATCAGCTACGTTGATCTTGACGATTAAAAAAGTGAAATCTTAGACGAAGAATGAGAAACCAAATTATAGACTCATAATGTTCGGAAGTTTTGTTATTAATATACTTTCATATTATGTAATTGACAATCATTTCGTATGTACTTGTTTAAGTTTAATTCTTGTCGATAGGGTTTTAACTCGCCGACGTTAATTTAAAGTTTTTAGATGTTACCCAGTTCCTACGATTTTGTTTTTTGTGAAGGCTTTTATGAAGCAGACGGATACGAGTGTGTCGAAAGATTTCGCCGTAACATTACGTCTTTCCAGCAGTGCATACAGAAAACTCACGCTGCTGATGTCAGCAACAAATTACTTTCCAAACACTTATGCACGTGAGTGAGCAAATATTTTGATCGAGTGTTCGAAATGCTCTCAAACTGAAAACTTTTGTAACAGTGATATATAATTAAAATGTTTAATTTAAAATATTTTAAGTGATCTAATTAAAGCTGGATTCAGTGCGATAAAAATTACTTGATTAGAATGACAAGTCGTTTCTGAGTGAATTTAAATGTAACCCATTATTTGGTTATCTTGCCTGTTGTTATTTTTAATTTTAACTTCTATCATTAAACATGGTTGCACCTATTTACCAAACCAAAACATTCGTATATTTGATAGGGGTTTGGATTGTACTGGGGTTGAAATATTTATGGGTTGAATATTCGTGGAGTGTAGGGGGCGAATGACGACGATAGTGTTGTTATGGTAACGAAAACACAGCCAACAGGAGGGTTTTTTAATTACACGGGGAAATACTGAAAATATTTGAATAAGCGAACCTGAAATTCCGGTTATTTGTTTACGTCCTTGTTGTAAAGTAAGAAAGAGTATCTCGTTCAAAAACAAAACAAATTAACTAAAAATATTAGTTTCGGAAATAAAAATGATAAGAATATTTGAATACAATGTCATGTTTTTTTTTGTGTGTGTTTTCCAGTTATGGCAAGGACGTATCTCATTGTATAAGGCGTTTGACAAAGGATTGTAGAAAGGCCAGGGACGTGATCTTAGGTTTTGTGGCTACCATTATTGAAGCAGGAAAGTGTGACAAGTTTAGCGGGAACTCAAGCCCCAGCACCAACAAGTTGGAGGTTCTTCTTGGAGCCACGAGTCTCGCAGTTGGGCTGTTGTTACTTTAATTTTGTTTTTCGCAGTTATTTTTATGTTTTGTTTTACCGTACATTGAAAAAAAATCAAAGGAAAGGTTTACGGAATAATGTGTATATATAAACATAGTGTGTTTGGGTAAAAAGTTAATTAATGTTAAAGTGATTTCATTACTTTGCATTGAGTAGGTAGAAATACTTTATTTTTATCACATCTGGAAACCTGATTTAGGTTGGATGTTACATTCTAAGTCTTACCATGAAAGTTATTACTTGTACAACGATAACGTGTCCTTACTGGTTCACGGTTAGAATCTCCTGTACGTTGAACACTTATTCAAAGTTTAATTAAGGTACCTATTGGTTGTTCGTCGCAGGCAACCACGTTATCTGCATTTAATTAAAATGTTTTCGAACTTTTTTGTAATACTGAAAATGTTTTAACTGCATTCATTACCACGTTTCTATCGTTCTCGTCTCTACACTTTACTCAACCATCTCATCCTAGGCCTTGTTACGTTTCCGTTTGTTAATTGATTTCCCGTCAATTCGTTCCGACGAAACTTTTGCGACACAAGTCCTTTCTTAAATAAAAC